CTTCATCAGGTTTATTACAAAATGATTTAAAAAGAATAATTGCCTTCAGTACTATTAGTCAAATGGGATATTTATTCATGGCAGTAGGTTTAAGCCAATATAACGTAGCTTTATTCCACTTAGTAAATCATGCTTTCTTCAAAGCATTATTATTCTTAGCTGCTGGATCTGTAATTCATGCTATGGCTGATCAACAAGATGTTAGAAGATTAGGAGGATTATTACAATTCTTACCATTTACATATACAGCTATATTAATTGGATCATTGTCTTTAATGGCTTTACCATGATTAACTGGTTTCTATAGTAAAGATTTAATAATAGAATTAGCTTATGCTAAATATCAATTCAGTGGTCAAGCTGCCTATTATTTAGGAACATTAACAGCTATATTCACAGCCTTCTATTCATTCAGATTAATTTCATTAGTATTCTTAACATATCCTAATGCACCTAAATCAGATTATTTAAACTCACATGAAGCTAGTTTAAGTGTAGTTATACCATTAACTCTATTATCATTAGCAAGTATATTCTTTGGATTTATCTTTGCTGATTTATTTGTAGGTATCGGTACAGACTTCTTCGGTAATAGTCTATTTATACATCCTAATCATATTAATTTAGTTGAAGCTGAATTCTCTATGCCATTATTAATTAAATTATTACCTACAATAGGTAGCGTATTTGCTGCTCTATTAGCGGTATATCTATATCATAATAGTCAATTATCTTTAAAAAATCCTTCTGGAATTAAAGGGCAAGCTATGATAGAATTAACTGATTATTCTTTAGGTAGAAAAATTTATACTTTCTTAAATGGAAAATACCTATTAGATATCATCTATAATAATTATATCATTGGAGCTGGTTTAAAATTAGGATATACTGTTGCTAAAGTATTAGATAGAGGAGTTATTGAAGTTGTAGGACCTTTCGGTATTTCTAACTTCTTATTTAACACAGGTAAAAATATTAGTAACTGAGATACAGGAATAGTAACAAGTTATGCTCTATACATGGTATTAGGACTAATTTCTATTATATTACTTCTATTTGCACCTATTATTATTAATATCTTACCAGGATCTATAGCTAATAGTCATACTGGTGTAGACCTATCTTCTATAGTAAGTTACTTAAGATTATTATTTATTTATATTCCAGGTATTCTATTTATAATAAGTTCTAATAATTTAACTAAGGCTAATTAAGGCACTTATTTAGATTATAACCCATTATAGATGGCTTCGAAGAGAGGGATTTTTTTATCTTTATTAAGTCAGCTTTATATTGATAAAAGAAGACGAAATATGTCACAGAGGTATACCCCACAGAAGTGTTAATATGCACTCGTAATAATTAAAATAGCGTATAAGTAGGTGGAAAAAAAAATTTCAATTCAAGTGGGTAAATCTAATAAATTTAAAAATCTGCCTAAGACATTATTTAATTTTATTGAACGATCCTTTAAATATAATAATTATTTAGGTCCATTGTTAGGATTTAGTTTCAGAGTAAGTTATAGAAATCAAGAAGGAAAACTTGTATATAAAGTACTTCTAACTAAAAACAGTGGGAAAATCCTAGCTTATGAAAAAATTTCGAAAGACATTATTCATAAAATTAAAAAACGAGGGATAAATCCTTCATCAATTGAAAGGCTTCATTTACATTTATATTTTAGATTTAACCCTATTTAATAATAACCCTATTCTCTACCTATTCGGATTAGACATAGCTACTGATATGACAAGATAAAATAAACTAAAAGTAGAAGAAGTGACACTAAGATAATTAGTTAAATTTTAATTAGATTGTAGTTAGACGATGCTGGTGTATCGAATACTAGATATAAATTACATATTTAATTATAATTAAATTAACTAAGGGCTATATTAGCCTAAATTATAAGCCGCCTGTTAAGTCAGATTCGGTATATTATTTATCTAATCTAGTGATCCTAGACTAGCTAACAAAGGTTGATCAAGGAAGGTCTAGATGATAATCCTATTATAGATGAACTAATATTCTAGTTATTTGGTTTGTCTAATTGAAAAAATAATAAAAAATAAAAATAAAAATAAATGAATAGTATATTAAATTTAATATTTAATCCCATCTTAAATGATGCTCCTGAACCTTGACAAATAGGTTTCCAGGATAGTGCTGCTCCAGGTTTTGAAGGTATTAACGATCTTCATGATTCTATTTTCTTCTATTTAATAGTAATCTCAATAGGTGTATTCTGAATGCTATTTAGTATAATGATTAACTTCAGTCATAAAAACTCACCTATAGTATATAAATACTCTAACCATGGTACATTAATCGAATTAATTTGAACAATTACACCTGCTTTAGTATTAATAGCTATAGCTTTCCCTAGTTTCAGATTACTTTATATGTTAGATGAAGTGGTTACACCTATAATGACAATTAAAGTTATAGGACACCAATGATACTGATCATATGAATATGCTGACTTCGTAAATGAAAATGATGAAGCAATAGACTTTGATAGTTACATGGTACCTGATAGTGACTTAGAAGTAGGGCAATTAAGATTATTAGAAGTTGATAATAAAATTGTAGTACCTGCTAATGCTCATATTAGATTAGTTGTTACATCAACTGATGTAATCCATGACTTTGCTGTTCCTTCATTAGGTCTTAAAATAGATGCTGTACCAGGAAGATTAAATCAAACATCATTCATAGCTCTAAGACCAGGAGTATTCAGAGGACAATGCTCTGAAATATGTGGAGTATACCATGGATTCATGCCTATAGCTTTAAAAGCTTTACCATATGAAGAATTCTTATTCTGATTAGAATCAATGTCTTAATCCCATCTTTCTATGGCTAATGTTAGTCTGGAAGAATAGGATAACCCACTAAATATATTCTTTATAGTCTTACCATCCAACCCTTTATCTTAATATAGGATCTTTTTCTTGTCACAGGCATACCCGTACGAGCGAGAGAGATTTATTGATATGATAAAGTAAGTATTATGGCTTAGGCTTATTTATAATGTTAAATCTTTGTAATATTTAATACTATATAATATAGTATTATGTTACTATTTCAATAATAGACCTTCTCGTAGCTTAATAACTATTTAAATGAATAGCCTTATATTTGTAGGCTTTGTGTCCTCTGCTCGTAAAGAATAGTGGGCCAAAATGTTAAGCAGGACGATAGTAAGGCATTATCACCTGTCTGTTATAAATGGTAATATAAGATTTAGCCCTCACCCAATACAGGAGGAAATAGCTTTATATTACTACTCTTTCTGTTCTTTTTTGACGTAGCTCTAGCCATCGAGACTAATTAAAGTACAGGCTAGGTATTGAAACATAAGGCAGAGGAGGTCAGGTAAAAAGGAAAACAAATAAACATAAGATATGATAAATATCCTTTATAATTTATTAGAAGTTTTAATCGTTATAGTTCCAGTATTATTAGCTGTAGCGTTTATGACTATTATAGAAAGAAAACAATTAGCTGCAATGCAAAGAAGGGTAGGTCCTAATACAGTAGGATATTATGGAGTATTACAACCTTTTAGTGATGCTTTAAAATTAATTCTTAAAGAAACAGTAATACCAGCTCAATCAAATAAAGTATTATTCTATTTAGCTCCAGTATTCACATTAATCTTTAGTCTATTAGGATGAGGTGTAATACCTTTTGGTCAAGGTTTAGCTATATCAGATTTCTCATTAGGAATTTTATACACATTAGCCTTATCATCATTAGGAATATACGGTATTCTATTTGCAGGATGATCAGCTAACTCTAAATATGCCTTTTTAGGATCTTTAAGAAGTACAGCCTCAATGATTAGTTATGAATTAATATTAAGTACAGCTGTTATAATCGTTATATTATTAACAGGATCATTTAATATAACAAATATTATTGAAAATCAACAATCTATTTGATATATAGTGCCTTTAATGCCTGTATTTATATTCTTCTTCATTTCTATATTAGCTGAAACAAGTAGAACACCATTTGACCTACAAGAAGCTGAATCAGAATTAGTAGCTGGTTTCTTCACTGAACACTCATCTATTATATTCGTATTCTTCTTCTTAAGTGAATATAGTTCTATTGTTTTAATGTCTAGCTTAACTGCTATATTATTCTTTGGGGGATATCATTGTACAGAAATTTTTGAAAATAACTCTGTATTAAGTATTCAAAGTATTATTTTAGGACTTAAAACTTGTGCATTCTGTTTCTTATTCGTATGATTCAGAGCTACTCTACCTAGATTAAGATATGATCAATTAATGCTATTCTGTTGAACAGGTATGTTACCTATTGCTATTGCATTTACAATACTAGTACCTAGTCTACTAATAGCTTTTGATTATGTTCCTTTCGTATAATTAAAATTACCCTATAATCGGATACTTAGGAAGTAGAATTGCATTCTCTTAGTCCTATAAGAGATCAAGAGAAAGGCAACAACAAATCTGCTAGCCAAACACCTGATTAATAACCCTGACGTACGACACTATATCCAAGGCATAGACATGGTCTAGAACTAATTTATTAATATAAGAAGAATAAATATTACTTATTTACATAGCCTTTTCTAGGTCATACATTTGCATTACTTAAGAGAATTGAGGTATCTAGAAAAGCTTAGGTAAGATCAGGCAGGAATATAACTTGTGGCATAATAATAAAGGGGAAATAGGATAATGGTTAGTCATTCGTGTTTGCAACACGAAGGTAGGAGTTCGAATCTCCTTTTCTCCATATAATAAATGGTTCCTCCCAATTCCACATATCTTGTATGCGTTGAGCATATCACAAGCATACAAGAAGGCTGAACGAGGGGAGCAGAAAAGCACATAATTTAACGGTAAAATGAATTTTTGATAAGGATTTTATGGAAGTTCGATTCTTCCTGTGCTTAACTATAATAAGAGGCGGGGTTCCGCACCCTAATAAAGGCTTTAGCCTTCCGGAACTATAAAGCATCATTAGCTGAATTGGCACAGCACTTGCCTTCGGAGCAATAGTTTGTTGGTTCGAGTCCAACATGATGCTGCGCATCGCACCTTCTGACTCAGCTCATATGGGATAGTGCCATTGGCCGAGAAATAAGGATAGGGTCAGATATAAAAGAGGTGATAAATAATATTATTAGCCTTGAAAGGATAGAAAAAAATAACAAGTATAGTTAAGTGGTATAACTTCTGTCTTCCAAATAGAAATCATCAGTTCGAATCTGATTACTTGTATTAATTTAATATTAAATATAGGCCTTACATATATATGCCTTTCGTATATAGTGGCATTCTAACCGATCTTAAAATTAAGACGGAGAGAGAAATATTAGTAGCCCGTAGCCCTGTCACAAGACTAAGGGTCGGGAGCAAGGCTAGACATTTCTTTATCTTTTTAAATAAAAAGAACAAATTAAACAGGTAATGGTTATAATAAGTTTAATGATTTTAATTATGGCAATTGCATTAGCACCTCAGTCTAATTCAAGCTTAGATCTAGAACAAGGTAAAAATTCAGATAGTATAAACGTAGCTTCAGCCTACGGTACAGAAAGTTTATCTTCATTAGGTCAAGCTGTTTCAGCTAGAGGTGGAATATCACCTTTATTAATTAGTAGATTAGCTTCTATATCATTTCTTTTTTCTGGAGCATTAGCTTATAATGCTTTATATATTCAGTCTATTGGATCAGGATTAAGTATATATAGTGGTTTATTCCAAATAACAGTTTTATCACAAAGTTTTGATCTATTTATATTTGTATTGGCAGCTTTAATCCTTATACCTTGATCTAATGGTATAGTTAAAGGAGGGCAAGCTCTTAAACCTTTATTAGGTGTTACAGGTCCAGTAGTATCAGAATATTCTTTAATAGTTTTATTTTCAACTTTAGGAAGTTCATTATTATTAAGCTCAGGTAATTTATTATCTTTATACTTAGCTGTAGAATTACAATCATTCGGAGTATACATTTTAGCTACAATATATAGAAACTCTGAATCAGCTACAAATGCTGGTTTAAAATACTTCTTATTAGGTGGATTATCATCTTGTTTAATCTTATTAGGTTGTGTATTAATATACAGCTATACAGGATTAATCTATTTTGAAGACATCTATTCTTTAGTAAGTTCTTTAACATTAGTTTCTAATACAGCTTCACAAGGTTACTTTGATATTGTAACAATAATTCAGTTAGGTTTAATTTTAATCTTTATAGGATTCTTATTCAAAATAGCAGCAGCTCCTTTCCATAACTGAGCTCCTGATGTATATAACGATGTTCCTACAATAGTTACAACTTGATTAACAATCATGCCTAAAATAGCTATAGTAATATTATCTTTTGAAATATTAAGTACAATAATACCAAGTCAACCATTAGAATTAGGATTATTAGTGGCAGAAAATGGTTTCTCATCAACATTTAGTAACCTAGGACTAGGACTTAAAAATTTACTATTGATAGCTTCATTCTTATCATTAGTAATAGGTACAACAGTAGGTTTAGCTCAAATTAAAATAAAAAGATTGTTAGCTTATAGTACAATATCTCACGTAGGTTTCTTATTATTAGCTTTATCAATCAATACAGAAGAATCATTAGAATCATTATTATTCTACTTAGTTCAATACTCTATTACTAACTTAAATACATTCTTTATCTTATTAGCCTTTGGTTATATCTTGAAAAAAAGTATTACTAAAGTTTCTACATTAGAACAAGTAGAAGGTAAAGAACCTAATAAATTTGATATCAGTCTTATCTCTGAATTAAAAGGACAGTTCTGATCAAATCCTTTATTAAGTCTTAGTTTAACAGTATCTTTATTCTCTATGGCAGGTATACCTCCTCTAGTAGGTTTCTTTGCTAAAGCTCAAGTATTATATTCAGCAACTCAAAATGGATACTACTTTATATCTATAGTAGCTATACTAGTAAGTGTAATAAGTGCTTATTATTATCTACAAATAATTAAAGTAATGCACTTTGATAGCCAAGCTCAACCATCAGGTACAGGGCAAGGTTCTGAAGTAGAACAACCTACAATGGTAGGAATTACACAGTTAGATACTGTAAATAATACACATAGCTTTATAATTTCAACTTTAACATTATCATTATTATTATTTATGTTAAAACCTTCTATTATATTAAATAGCATTCATCTAATTGCTTTAAATATATTCTATTCATAATATGAACGCATTACTAGTATTATTTTTATTTATTCCAGTATTAGTTGGTATTCTATTAGCTTTAAATATTATTTTAGCTGTACATAGACCTGATACTGAAAAACTATCACCTTATGAATGTGGATTCACTCCTATTTATGGGCAAACTAGATCTCAATTCTCAGTTCATTTCTATATCGTTGCTATCTTATTCTTAGTATTTGATTTAGAAATATTACTATTATATCCTATATCTGTTACATTATATCAAGTATCAAGTTATGGATTTACTATTGCTATAATTTTCTTTTCTGTTCTTACAATAGGTTTTGTATTTGAATTAGGTAAAGGAGTATTAAAATTCACAGACCATAAATCTAAAATAGTATAACCCTCGTCCTTCACCCTAAGGCTTGGAATTATAGCAAGGATTCTAGTCCTAGCTTACGTTTCTACGGCCTACCAAAGAACAAAAGGGAAATATTAACCCGACTCTAGGCATTAGGTTAAACATATTTTACAATGTAAAAAGCCAATTCTAGTCAGGCCTTAGTTATAATAGGCAGATTGTTTTGGGTTACGCATTCCTGTTCCGAAGGGCTAGGGTTAGAGGAGAGGCATATAAGAAAACTTAAAGGAGCATTTAAATATTAAAAGTGGAAGTTAAATTATAAAATATGATTAGTAACTAAAATTTACACTTACAGATTCTTAATATGCCTTATTATTATCTTAATGCCAAAGGGCTGGGATACGGTATTTCGTTATTGTATCATTTGCGGTTTATTTATTATTGTCACAAGCACAAGGGGTTAGAAAGGGTTAAGTTAAATTAAATTTAAACACTTTATTATGAGTATAATAATAAGAAAGCTATCATTAAACTGAATAGACCTGTAGCTTCTGCTAAGGCGAATCCTAAGATAGCGAATGTGAATAATTGTCCTCTAACTTGAGGGTTTCTAGCTGTTGAAGCGATTAATGAAGAGAAGATTAAACCGATTCCGGCTCCGGCTCCAATTAATCCTGAGCAAGCTAATCCTGCTCCTAAGTATTTTGCTGCGGCTAACATTATTACAAATATTTTTTTTAGGGTACTAAACTATACAAATTAAGTAGATAATAATAAAAAGGGATACTTTTTATATATCAGCTTGTGTACGCTACTCAATAATCTGACTATTCGTCTAAAGATTTACTTTATTAATTAAAATAAGGCCTTACGGGCTATCCTAAGTGGATCCATAAGGCACTATTGGCCGTACTATTATAAATATAGCTTATTATAAGCGACTATTTTGTCTTTTAATTTATCTTCTTTTAATACCGATCCGTAAAGCACTAGCGATAATTTATACCCTTATGTTTTTTTCTTCCTATTTCAGTTGTACTACTAATCTTTTCGAAGCTTACGGGCTCGGTATATTGGGTTATTAATTATTAATTATTAAGATTTATTTGATAATTTTGTTAAGTAAAGTCTAACTACATTTCTGTATGTAAATAAAGGTAAAATATATTTAGACAATACAAAAATTAATACAATTAAAGTTAAGAATGCGAATGATAATTGATTTAAGAAATAAAAAGGTACTAGTTGAGGCATTTATATTTGTTATTTTAATTTTAAGTTCTTTCTCTACCACTCCTTGTTCGGTTAATACCGCTAAGAGGGCTCAAGATTGAGTAATCATTCCTTATTAAGTTGCGAATGCCCACATAAATAAGGAAGGCTCATACTTATTCCTTGATTTAGTACTATCCCTTTCTACTGTTCCAGCCATATGACTAGAAAACGAGAGGAAAAGAATAAGGGCAAGCACTTTACTAAATCCGAAAATTAAAGAGACAATTGGTATTACTCCCGTAAAGGGCTCAATGCGACCTTTATCCAGTTTCCGAATAGGATTGTTGAGTAAGGTCGTACTGCCTTCCTGGTTCTATGGAAGGTCCAAGAATAATCCTAGTTTTGGCAATATACGGGTGCGTTACGCTTGGTTAGAATGAGGGTTATAGTGAGAAGCAATAAGCTAATTATATACAGATTTTACTTGTTGTTCAAACTTTTACGCTATAAGAACCTCTTTTGTTTTTGCTATTATAAAGAGCATAATCAACAAGGCTATTTTTATCTCTAATAAATCCTCCTATTTCTTTCTGTCTAACTGTTTTTTTAGGTACTACTCTTTCTGTTAGTAATCTACCTGAAATTCTAACTTTAAGACCAGTAAGAACTGTTGGAATAGTTTTATGTATTTTAACTTTTTTTCTATTAATAACTACACTGTAGAAATCATCATTTTTTTTATCATCTCTAAGATCTTTAGTAATGATTAATGATTTTTTAATTATTAATCCCATAAGAGATCTAAATCTATTTAAATTACTTCCTAGAGCTAATAATTTAGCTAAAATATGACTATCTTGATAAGGATATTTCAATCTATTAAGCTGTAATTCAACTTTTAAGTTAAATAATTTAGATAGAGTATTAATTAAAGTTTTTAATTCTTGTTTTAATATTCTAACTGATTTAGAAGGTTGTTTATTGTATTTTCATACATATCTTCTAGATAGTCTTTTAGATGTTTTAGGTCTATAATAATTAATGAAAATTACTAATTTATTTTGAGTAAATAAATATACAGGTCTGCTAATTAAAGCATAGAAAGTTCCAAAGAAATAGTTTAAAATTCTATTTACATTATTTATTAATTTTAAGTATTTATATTTCTTAGAGTTATTATAGAAATAAAAATAGTTTTGAGTTAAAGAATTAGGTTGTTGAATATTACATATATTTTTAATTAATCGTCCCATAGATATTGCTGTACTATGTGCTGATGTTAAAGGAGTACTTGG